AACTGGAAGTCTGTCCTTGTGTCTTGCTTAAGTGTTTTCTCATTTTAATTTTTGTTGTCGGACTGTCCTTGGTTTTATTTCTGGATTGTCACCCAAATCTTTCTGATATAGTTGTGCCCTAGCTTCTGTGTTTCTAACGACCCACAGACATTCTCATCTTTGTAACACCAGAGAAAACAGCTCATCAAATCAACGGCAATGCTTTACCCCAACTGATACAATCAGCAACACATTAAGATCAAGCACAACTTGGAAACTGACCACCTGTGGTAGTCACTAGTCTATCACCCTTAAATCATTTGAATTAAATTGAAATCAAGAAGCAGTCCAGAACATGTCTGCAGTGAAGAGAATTTCCATATAGTGTATTTACCATTTAATGGCTCAGACAGAGCAAGACCCCTGATCTCAGTTAGCTGATGGCTGAACTCCGTGACTCTGACTGACCTCGGGCTGCAAGGCCCAGATTGAGTTCCGCAACCTTCTGAATGGTTGAACTTCACAACGTTCTATTACAGGTTTCCCACGCCCTTTCTTTAAAAATGTTAGAAGTTGGGAACTCAGAAAAATACCCTTGATGACCACCTCTGTCTTTGCAGAGTGGGTCCAAAGACTGGCACAGTCAGGAGGTCTGAGAGTGTGTGGCGGGGAGCTCATGGGGGTTCAGGGTTGCCCACACGGCTACCTTCCCCGTACTTGAGCGATGGCTGCTGGGTTGGAAGCAGGCGTGGTTCTCCTTCCCGCGGTGGATCGGGGCCCAGGCTGCCTCCCGGTGCTTGAGCTATGGCTTCTGGAACTGGGTTTTTGGGGTGATGGGTATTTGCAGAGACTTAGGCTTGAGGGAACAGAGGTTTCTTGCGTGGAGAATATGTGCATCCCTTGTACTGAGGGAATTGAGGTTTCTCCCATGGGGGATATTTCGGGTCATTTAAGCTATGGAAATGGGTTTCTTGGTGGGGGGGTACTTGGGGATTATTAGGATGAGAGAACTGGGTATCCTCCTATAGTGGGTTCTCTCAGATGGGGAATATTTGGATTTTGTCGGGGATGACTTGGGTTCTTTCAGACTGAAGAAATTTAGGATACTTAGAGAAGAGTTGGCATTCATGGGGTGAAGTGTGTTTGGGGCCCCTTGGGATGCATGCATTTGTTGAAGAAGGCATCTTGGGGTCCTAGGACATAGAAAGGGCTCTTACAGGACTTGGACTGAGGCATCGGTCAGTCTCCAGGAGAAAGAGGCCAGGTCTGTCATTTGGGATGCTTTGGCCTCTCTATGCACACTGTTCAGGTTCTTGGGTGGAGGGGGGTTGTGCTCATAGCCTCTAGTACTTGGGGCTGAGCCAGTGGGGATTTACTGTTCCTCTGGGGGGATCCCTGGAAGCGGACAGCTTTGGGGTCTCATGCTGGGAAGATTTGAGTCACTTCAGGTGAGCAGATTTTCAGCCCCTTAACATGCAGGACTTGGATGTATCTTGGGGCTGAGGGAATTGCTTTGCAGGGGGAAGAGACCTAGGCTTTTAGGCTAAAACTGAAAGACTCACTGAAGGCTTATGAGGGATTCATAACCCTGGCACAGGCCCCAGCCCTGTCGGTGTCTGGCCTCCTGGAGCTGCTCTCCTGAACAGGTGGCCTCTCCAAAGCTGAATGTTGTTGAGCAGTCACTTTTCTTTTTGCTCTTTGGCTTTTTTTCTGTTTTGCTATTTTTTTCCTTCATTCTTATATTTATTTATTTATTTATTTTTGGTATTGGGAATTGAACTCAGGACCTTGTGCTTGCCAAGCAGGCGCAGCATCACTGAGCTAACCCCGACCCTCTTGTGTTTTTATTTAAAAATGTGTATTTTTCTCCATCATTTTTGTTTTATTTTTAACTTTTAATTTTTATTTTTTTCTAGTTTTGTTTTTTAATTGCTCTCAAATTTTTTCATCTCAGTTCATTTTTTATTTTTCTTTTTTTTCAATTTGTTAAGATCAAAGTGAAATAAAAATAGGGATTAGTCTCTGCTAAAATAATTTGGTAATAAAGAATTTTAACCTAGAATCCACATGCACAGTTCATGGAAGTGTCTGGTATGTCTAGAAAAGAAAGAATAGGTTGGGTGTTTATAAGGACAGAGAAATCTGTGTAAGTTATTTAGAACAAAAGTTCATTGACACATTTAGTGCTTGTGGGAGCTGAGCAGTTTGGAGTGGGCAGGTGTCAGTTACTGGGATAAGCCAGTCTTCAGGTCACAGCTGGCTCTTCTTTTGGCAGCTGCTATATGAAAATAGTCTTAAAGATAGTGCAGGCTCTTTTGCTGGTTTTTATTTATTTTTATTATTTTCCTGGAACCAGGAATTGAACTCAGGATCTTGCACTTGCCAGGCAGGCACAGTGCTGCTGAGCTACATCCCTGGCCCTATTGCTGGTTTGGTATTGTGAGTTAGTTCCTGGAGCAGGTGTCCTCCACCTGTTACCCACACTTTCCCATTGTCTCCCACTCTGTCTTGAGTGCAGTATGACAGTGCTCTCTCCATTTCGAATACTGAATTTTCACATTTGTATACCCAGCAGGGCACCTGCAGCACGGCCTCACCATCTCTTGGTAGGAGGAGACCTATGTGGAAAATAACTGGCCCCTTTAGACCATTGGCAACCATCGAGGTGAGGCAGGCCTGGCATATCCTAATTCGGACCGAGGAGGCGGTTAACACAGCTCCTCCAGCCTCCAGAGACCACACCCAAAAGTTCAGATCACTGGAGTGTTGAGTCACCCTAACTTTGGGGAGCTGTTTGAAACCCAGGAAAGGCTTTGCCTGGTTGCAGACTATATTATGGAGTGAGATGTTTGGTTTCTTAGCTGGCTGCATGAGAAAGAGGCTCACAACAGATTCTCCCAGATGCTGCTGCTGTGCTGGGCCACCGTCAGGAGAGTGTTTATCCATGGAAACCTAAAGCCAAAGAACTTGCTTTTGGCTGCTGACCTGAACCTCAGGGTTGCAGAATTTGGCTTCATCAGGGAGTTCATCTCTGGGGCAGTTCCCCTCATGCTGCCCCAGAACTCAGGGTCAGACACATGATGGCCCAGAGGTGGATATGGGGAGCCTAGGAGTCATTCTGTACCATGGTCACTGGCTCCCTGCCCTTTGTTAGAAAGTCTGGAGGCTGTGGGTATCAGTGCTGAGCAAAATATACAGTATTCCTTTCTTTACATCCATACAGTATGAAAGCCTCCTTAAGAAGTTCTGGGTCCTCAGCCCCAGTAAGAAAGGCATTTTAGAGGAAATCCTGAGGTACCCATGGGTAAATGTGGGCCATGTGAGGTCTTACTTCAACCTATTCCCTGACTACCTTCCCTTTCCAGTCTGAGTTGATGCCGTGCATGGGCTATGAATGAGACCACATTCATGACTCAATAGCGGGCCAGGAGGAGGAAGAAGCAGTGGCTAGCTCTCTGCTTCTGAGCTGTACAGCACCTCAGCAGGAGGGCCACACCATCACCAAGAAGCCCCTGCCTTCAGCTGACTCCACCAGCTGCTGCATTCCTTTCTCATCTCTGAGACAGAGTCTAGAGTCACTGCCAGCCCAAAGCAGCAAATCTGCCATTCCCACCTTACCAAGTTCTCTAACACAGGAAATCAGCATCTTAAGGAGGGCCAGTTGACCCTGCAGAAGGTCAGCAGAACAGCTGAAGTGCCTGTTAGTTCCTTCCCTGGGCTGGAGATGAAGACCGCCTTCCCCCTAGCACAGCCTTCCATCGTAGTCCTGTGATCTCCTTCTCTACCCATAGCACCAGCATCAGCGGTGGAGCCTCGGAAAGAACCAGTTGCTCTTACGCATCCTTCAAAAGAAACTCCTTCTATGCCAGGCATCTCTGATTGAGACCAAAATAATTTTCTGGAAAGTGTGAGGTGGACTTACCCTATGGCAATAGCCAAGACCAATGGGGCCACTGGGAAGTTGCACACCTTCCTCTTCCAGCAAGTCCCTGGCTTGGCTGGTTTTCATCCAGCATGTAGCTCCAGAGCAGAGCCATCAAGTGTTTGTTGGTGGGCTGCCAAGGCAGGGGCCAATATGGGGAGGTCAGGCTGCATTCCCTGCATCTCACAAGGAAAGCTCCTGAGCTCATGAACTCAAAAGACACGATGCAGAAGGCGGCCATGTGCAGACAGCTTGAGTAGCAGTCCTCTAGCAGGTCAGGTTCACATCGTGTTGCTGAGTGCAGCCCGGAGGACGGACTTGGTTCCGGGGAGGATGACGGCATGCAGTTTCCATGGATTCATTTTAAGAGGCTGCCTTGCTCCTCCATCTCATTCAAAAACATCATGGCCAGGAGAGCTGCTGGACACCAGTGTAAAGCACTGCCAGGAGCTGCCCGTGACTTAGAAGAGATCTTGGGTCCTTTTGCCAGGCAGGTCCCTCCACTGGTTCTTGAGGGAAACTCCAGAGACTGTTCTCCTCTTCCCAGGCTCTTTCTCCTTTTTCTTCTGTGTTTGTGGGGAGAGGAAGTGGTTCTGTAGAAATAAAACACAATTAAAAAAAAACTTAATTGGTAAACAGTTATGGCTTATTTTCTGAGTTGCTTTTAATGATGACTTGTGGGAAGCAATTACTGACTTAGTGGTTTTGATTTATGTTTGTGTTAGAGAACATAGGGTCGTTACCTCCTTGACTAGTTTGCTAATAATGACATTAATGCCAGCTAATAACAATAGCATTTCCTATTAGACAAACTTTCTGTACTGATCCACTTCATTTTAGCCACAAAGCTGCATTTAACAGATTAAGAAACACTGGAAGCAGTAATTTCTTGAAAATCCCAGAGCTTGGGAGTGGCAGAGCTCATGTCACGTGAGCTTGTACTGCTGCCCCAGTGATGGAAAGTGTCGTAGTTCATTGGAGATGCTATGACCATAAACTGGGCTTGGCTTGTGAACTGTGAACATTTATTTGTCAGAGCCTTAGTGGCTAGGAAGTTTAAGAGCAAGGTGACAGTAGATTATATATCGGTGAAGAACCATTTCCCACTGATGGCACATTCTAGCTTTGCCTTCACATGGTGTAAAGGGGAAGTTAGATCTGTGGTTTCTCTTTTATAAGAGCTTTAATCCCCTTCACCTATTTACTGCCCAGAGAACCTACTTGCTCACGTTATCACCTTGGGAATATGGACTTCAACATAGGAGTTTTAGAGGACACAAACATTCACATCACAAGAGGAAGTAGCTAAGTTTTTAAAGCAAAAGAGTCAGTTCCAGGGATTTAGCTCAGTGGCACCATGCATGCCTCATAAGCACAGGGTCCTGAGTTCCATCTCTGGTACACACACAAAAAGTCAGTTCTTATCTGTATTGGAAATGAAAGAGTTACCACAGAGAATGTGTGCCTTGGACATTAAAGAAATAAAAAGCAGTGGATTTCTCCTGATTGCACAGAGCCTCTGTTCTTTGGCTTCTTCTACATGATCATTGTTTCAATTTCTCTCCTGTTGTTAACTATATTTCCCAATAAGGGAAAATTGTAGGTCCAATAAGTGAATTGATCTGCATTTTTCTTGATGCTCATAAGGTTTTAAGATCCTGTATGTAAAAGTACTTTTACAGCTCATTTCAAATGGTACATCGGGCTTCATGTATTCTGGCACTGTTGGTACACATAGGCTGTATGACGTGTGTAGGATGGACAAAATGTGTTATGAGAAGAGGGCAGGAGCAGAGATGGAGTTGGGATGTGGGATGTGCTGAGGCAGGGAAGTTCTTATATTGCCCTTCCTTGTAGTAGCTAATTATGGACTCTCGTTCCTTTACCAGGGGGCAGAGGCGAGAGCATTCATAAAGGGGTTTTGTACTTTGTGGTATCTACTCTACATCCTCACTGAATGCAGGGTTTCTGGGTTTAGGAATCATTTTTTTATCCATAAAGAAATCTTTTATGTAGATTCCTTAACTGGGAAGTTTGCCTCTAAAATAAAATCTGGCTATTTGAACCTCCTGGGACCATGTTCTTGGAAGATGCAGAGTAAGGTAACCAAGTGCAGTTGAGGGAATCAGATGGCTCTTTACTGAGAACAAATCACACACCGCCTTTGTCCCCTCCCTGCCTCCCGGGACGGCACACGGAGGCACATGGGCCACCGCCACAGGAAGGAGTTTGATCGCAAGCGCTAGCAACATCTGCTTCCTTGTGCTTCCTGTGGACCCCGCAGCTGGCGGAGCTAAGAAATGTGAACATTTATCAAAACTGACTTTCACTTCTGAAATCTTCGATTCAGTTCAGTGTCTTTGGTAGAAGAGGAAAGTGTAACATTGTGTGGCTCCGCCGTAGGTTGACAGCATGGCAGTCGCTTTGGGGTCCGCACCCCTGTGTAAACCCCAGGCTTCGCAAGTCTCTTTCCTCTTCCTCCGTCCAGCGCGGGAGGAGTTGCTGCGCACTGCGCCAGACCCCTTGGAGCAAATCTGTTCCCAGAGCGCGGGCACAGTCATGGAACTGGCCTGGGGCCGCAGTGTCCGTCTTCTGCCTGCCTGGGGCTCCAGCCCATACCTGCCAGCCACAGTGCAAAGGGAAGGCCCAGTTGGGTGACTCCCCTAACACACCTGGACCAACCCCACAGGACAGCGGCAGGGCTGCTCAGGCTGTTCAGTTACCCTGATGGTCTGTGGAGGGCGACCCTGCCTCCCCTTCGCTCTGATGGGTCACTCTCTGGAGTGGTGCTCAGGCCAGGGCCGAAAGCAAGCAGAGCCTACGAGGACGGCTTCTGCCACCCTGCCTAGCACCGGCAGGCACAGGGCTCCTTCTCCTGGCCTCTCTCTGCATTAAGGGGCCCCAGCTTCTGTCCTCCTTCCCTGTAGAGCCTGGGCCTGCAGCCTGGGGTCCAGCCTGGGGTCCACCCCGGGGCCTCAAATGCACAGCAACACCAGGGCTGGCCCTGTTGCTTCATGGTTTCTGCTCGTGCAAGTGTCACCAGATGGTCATTTGGGAAGCACAAAGTAATTGAGCTGTGGATTTTATTCCTGGAGGTTAAACCTAGACTTAGAAACCTATTTACATAAACTGTCCATTAATTTACAGTTCATCCTGTGATAACTTCTATGAGAACTTGCAATAACCTTCCACGAATTCAGATAATTAGTGCAGCTAGGCACTTTTGTAGCTCACCCTGGATTTAAGGGCAGTCATACACAAATTATGAAATAGATTTGTAAAACCATCTTGATGATGGTAAATCAGTTTCAGCTGCTCCTCAAGTATAATTCTTTAGGCTGGAGCAGTGTCTTGATCATAAAGTTCCAGGGAAAGGTACCTTTGTAGTTTTTAGTGGAATTAACTTCCATTTCCTAAAAACAAGGAAGGAAGAGCATCTAACAGTAATCATCTTTCACTGTACAGTCACTGTGCTAGTGCCGGTGTGGTTATTTGTAGCTGATCCTGGTCCTGAGTCCCTGCCAACTATAGCCAGCTCACCTGGCCAGCCTTCCCTGCTGGCTCAGGTCTCCCCTGCCCTACTGAGCTTTCCCCACCCAGGTGCCACTTGTGGGGGAGTTAGACCTCTTTGTTGTCCCTGACTCGGGAGGAAAGAGGAAGGACAGAGATACCACGTGAGCTCAGCAGGTGGGCAGTGGGGCGCTCACTGCCAGCAGGCAGAGGAGCCAAGTCCCTGGCTCACCTTGCTTTTATTCACCCAAACCCGGCTTGAGCAATCAAAGTAACAGGAGATCCACCTGCTTCCCAGGATCCGTAGTACTCAGGGGAACACCTGCACCTCAGCTGTCCTAACTCTTCCCTCCTCTGCAATATGCGGTCACCCGGAGGGCAACTTCCTCCTTCATGCTCACAGAGGCGGCCAATTGGGCCTCAGTGCTCCTCCGGTCTCCTACAGTTATAATTCTATATTTATTCTGTCATTCTACAAGAAATATGCATTGTCTGACAATTTCATTTATGCAGAGATGAAGAATGCAGGAAATAACATTGTGGGTTTATAGATGTGAAGTTTTCCCTCAGAGCTTGCCATGGACACGACCCGTGTAACTGCGTGCCAGTCTCTGAGTTTGCCTTTGCCTCCTCGTCTGCTTGCTTACTCTTCCTCCTGAGTGATTCTACTAATAACCTGTCTCACTCGGAAGCAGAAAGCCAGGGGATTGGCACCTAAACCTTCCCTGCCATTCTCCTTGTATTGATTCCTACTCTGCAGGTTCCAGTGGACACTGATGTTGACCTGGGCTTTACGGAAATGGTTTTCCAAGCGCTGGTTTGTGCAGCTGACTTTCAATAGCTTTTGGGAAATTTTACACCACCGAGAGATGAAGCCATGGATAGTATAGGATGCACTGTTCCAAATAATTCAAGAGTGTTTGGAATGCCTGCTATTTTTTTGTTTTTTTGCCATCTCCTTAATATAGTGACTTTATAGATCTTAAAATAAATGTATATCTTTTATTTTGCTGTTACCAAATTGGATATCCATTTTTACTAGATTCTAGTATAGACTAGCATTAATGATGGCCCACTTTTCGTTTAAATTGCCAAAAAAAATATTGATAAAATTCTGTTAGCTTAGAAGATACTAGATTTTTTGTTTTATTTTATGGTCATGGCACTATTTTAATTCTACCCAGAGACTGCTTAGTCTTGCCCCTTGTGGATCATGTTGTTTGAGGGCGTCGTTACAGGCAGTTTGCTATAGAATGGTCTTTCAGAGTAGACCTGTTGCCCCAGGAGTTCTGAGTATGTATGATAGAAGGACAGGAGATCCTATTTTTGCATTTTCGATTTTTTCCTCCCCCAAATCATTTTCTTTTCTCCTTGAATCGTCCTCTTCATTCACAGTAATGAGTTAGGTAAATGAACATTGGGAGGTTCTGGAGACCCAGGGTCTGACCAAGCTCTGTTCCACGCAATTCCCATCAGACTATGGACAGTCTCCGGCTTCATTCCCTAAGCTGATGTCCATGGTCCACGATGCCTCTGAAGTACATCAAGTCTATCTCTTTTCATTAGTGTTAGTTCATCATTGGAACCCATGATGACAAGAGTGTATTTATAGTGTCCTGGTGCCTATTTTCTCTCTTGGCTTTCAAGATAATGGCACCTCAAGTTAGGAATCCATTCCTGATCTGGACACCTTGTAAGCCATTCTC